CTGGTGCGGGGGAGGGTGGTGGGGGGGGCTCTAAGGGGCGGGGGGCTGACACTGAGGTGTTTGGGATAGGGAGCTGGCATTGGGGGCTCTGAGGGTGGAAGGCTGGCACTGGAGGGGTTAGACTGGCGCTGGGGATAGGGGAGGGGTGAGGGGCTCTAGGTCTTAGGGCTGGCACTGGGGGCTCTGTGGGCTGCGCTTTTGGCAGACTGGTAATGTGTTTTATTTGCATATATACATATTAATCATGTGCATAGTTAATATGCAACTAAAATGTTACCGGTCCATCAAAAGTTTATGAATGGGATTGCAGGTCCACAATATCAAAAAGGTTGGGAACACTGGACTAAACTAAATCTGATTAGTTTAATTCTACTCTGGCTGGGGAACAGCAAGGCAAAATGAAATAAACACGATTTATTGATTTATTTACTGTTCTTAGAATAGATCCAGAAGCTTTTTGAATTTCTTGTTAAAAAAAAAAAAACTCTGTCATATGTTATGGGATTACCAACTTGATGTAAATACCAACAGATAAATAAACCTGTAGGATTTCTAAAGGTTATTTTAACAGTATACCCCAGGAAGATCATCCCTTAATTCTTAAAAGGCCATATCCTGACATTGGTGTTATGCAGGTGGATCCCTGCTACTGCTATCGATAGGGCATTGTGCAAGGAGATCCAATTGTGGGAATTAGCTTTAAATCAACAACTCCTTCTAAAGCCATTTTGCCATGTTCAACTTTTCTGCACTCTTTCAAAGCTCAAAATTCTCATAAGACTAAGGATGTTTACATTAGATTATTTTAGTAATTGAGTAGCTGATAGAATTTTTAAGCCAGCTTCCCCCCCAGCACTGGTTCCTGCTTCACATCTCCTTGCTGCCTCTGAGATAGAGGCGGCGGGGGGAGGGAGGGGGAACAGAATGTGAGTAGTTGACTCAACTACTCAATAAGCCTAGGCTAAGCCATCCTACCTAAAACTATGACTATATTCTTTTTTTTTTTTAAACACAGGAAGACTGAGAGGAAATAAACCAGTTGTATGGAGTCATTCAAAGTAAACTTCATAAACAGAACCTTCTGCACTTGTTTGCCCATCCCACCTCAGCATGCCTTTTCCACAGAGAGGTTGAAGTCTTCCTGCAGATAATTTGTTCATACCTTTTTCTCCAGCAACTGGTAAATTTATGTTCTTTGGCGCATAAGTGTATTTAGCTCTGCTTCAAATCCTTGCCTGCTCAGAACCAAGGGAGCTGCATGGAGCAACTGCCGGTACAATCTGACTAACTGCAACTCCCACCTCTGCTAGACTCCAGGCTTCTTCCCAGCCGCATCTTAATATGAACCTTTCCCTTAGTAGACATTAAGGATGTTAAAGAATAGTTGACTACCCCTTCTCCCCCTGCCTCTATCAAGGAGGAATGTGGAAGTGCCTATCGACTAGCCAAGTAGTTGATGGAAATTCCATTAACTACTCGACTAGTAAATTAACCACAATTTAACATCCTTAGTAGACACGGAAGTACAGTAATTCCTCATTTAGCACAGTAGCTACGTTTCAGAAAATGATCGTGCTAAGTGCAAACGTGTTATGCAGGGTCAATTTTCCCATTGAAAATAATGGAAAAGATGGGGGTTGTGTTTCAGGCACACGTGCACTCGCAGCTCCAGTCTGCACTTGGGACCAGGACATAAGGTTGGGGGAGAAAGTAGACTGAGTTATAGCAGTGAGGGGAGGTGTTTGGCTCTGGAGAAGGGAAGGACAGGGGAGGGGGCTTGCAGCTGGAGGCTGGATTTCCCCAGCTGGCTGGTCACCAGCAGCTGCATGGGGCTTCCTCTGCCTCCTTACAAAGTGGCGGAGGTTTGCCACTCGCCATGCAGTTCCCCGGTGACCCCCTCTGGTCAGATGCCTTGCGTCTGGCCAGAGGGGGTCACTGGGGAATGGCACGGAGAGGGGCAGGCCTGGGACGCTGGACTTGCATCTGGCCAGAGGGGGTCACCAGGGAACAGAGGAGGCAGGGGAAGCCTCGCACAGCTGCCAGCCCCCAGGCGGCCCTAGAGGAAATCGTGTTGCTGCGGGGACGGGGTCATATTGTTTGAAAAATGTTCCCTAAAAAAAATAATGGTGCTATCACGAAAGCATGTTAAGCAGGAAGGTGTTCAATGAGGAATCCCTGCACTAGTCACTCCTTCTCCGAACACGAGACCTGGGGGTGGGGTCATGTGATGAAGTGAACAAGAAACAGAATTAAAAACAAGAGGCGGCGTCTCTTCACACTGCATAGTCAGCATGGGGGGGGGGGGGGGCTTCGCCACGACG